TTCACTACATAGTGAAGGCTGCATATTTCTTGCTGCTCACTTTTGTCATTATAAAAAAAACTTCTTCAAGATTCCTAAATTCTTCTTCCTTGGAACCATCTTCATCTTCTCAGTGTTTGCTTTCACTTGTTTACATGCAATCAAGGCATTGTGATTGGTACCTCAATTCATGACTAACTCAATTTTATTCTGGAGATGACTTCTTTCTGTCTCATTGACCTTACCACTTCGTATGTCCAGCTTTGTATGAAGATCTTCCTTCATACTTTTCTCTGTTTCCATGTTAACCTCTAACAGTTTTTTTTTCCTTCTCAACGCTTTGAAACGTTTAAAAAAAAGCTTTCACAAGATTACTCTCAGTTCTTGCCTCTCATCAGTTTTAATTTTTTCCACCTCATCAGTTTTAGTTACTCTCAGTTCTTGCTGTTGTTAGACCTACATATCTCTTCATCTCATCTTGCCACCAACTGCACTCACACTTATTCAACCCTTGGATCTGCTGTTGCTGGGCTCAACCACAGAAACTCCTAGGACATACCAGATGATAATTTAAGGCAAAGAAGAAACATATAAGTTAAGTTGAAATTATATAAAAACTTATTCACTATCTTTCATGTGTTTGTGTAAGAAGGGAAGATGATCAATCCAAGTAAATATGTTAAACGTCAAAAATTAAAATACTCATGATAGCTTCCCAGTACAGTTTTTCCAACATCATGTGAAGACAACATCAAAAAAATAATCTGGTCGGTACAGTCAAAGGGGTTGATTGGTAGAGCATTAGCATAAGCATTATACTCTCTATTATCCAATCAACATTTGGTAAAGAAGCATTTAGGAAAACATTTACCAAATGCAAATGCTCTCCGAATGCTATTTGCTCAATGCTCTCATATAGAGCTTTTGGGAGAGCATTTGCATATAGAAAATATAAAACTTAATAATATTTATATATAACTAATTTATTTTGTATAAAAATATAAAAATATTTTTATAATTAAATATAAATTTATATTTAAAAAATAAAAATAAAAATTATAATTTTATTTAAGAGAACAATATTTCACATTTAAAATATAATATAATTTATATAATTACATATATCATTCATTATTTTTAATAACAAACATAACATAATATAATTTATATATTATCGATATAAACATATTATTTAGACACTAATAAATAAATTATATATTAACTTTTATGATAATTTTATGTATGAGTAATTTAGTGCTTTACCAATAAATAAATAATAATAATTTATATATAAATTATAATTAATTTATATATAAAATATAATTAATTAATTAATTTATTTAATAATAATTTTAATTTAATAATAATTAATTAAATTATAACTATAATTTTATATACGAGTAATATGTTATATCCAAAAATAATTTAATATTTTTAAAAACTTTAAATTTTTAAATATAATTATATAATGAAAATTCATTATTTTTAATAAAATGATACATTATAAATATATATTATATATATTATTTTAAAAGTAATATATTATTTTACTAACTATTATGACAACTTTAAAATTGTATACTGCTAATGCTCTGCCAATCACTTTATTAAAAACTTTAATGAAAGCATACATCTTTTGTAGCATACTGCTTCTGCAACATACTGCTACTGCTTTATCATCTGCTGTACCAACCAAGGTCAAATTCAATGGTTTTTCTTTCTTCACTTTGTTTACTTTATTTTAGTGAATGGTGCATTTGTTCTTCCTTGTTTCTCATTAATTTTTCTCTCCTTCACAAAGAAGAGTATACAGAGTTGCAATGGCATCAAGCTCTCTACGTTCTTCACTTTTCTTCGGATCCAACATATAATCTCATCTCTCACACCCAAAACCACAGAACCGTCCTTTCCCTTCTCCTTTTAAAACCACCGGATAACTCGGTCTTCTCTGCAGATCGAAGATAAATCCAAAAAGTCACTTCTTTTGCAAGTATTGCAGCTATCCTGTTCCCATCGGTTTACTCGTCGTCAAAAGTGGTAGCTTAACCAACCTGTCATTATTGAAGCCTAAGTAGTGAAGCTGTCGAACTCCTGGCTTAAGAAAGCGACTTTCATATTAAGTTCGGCCTCGATAAACTCAGAAACACAGAGCTAGATGACGACAGAGAAACCTATGTACGATACGGATAGGTTCAAAAAGACCATAAAGCCCAAATTCATCTCACCCGAAAAAGCTCTCAACAAGACCACAACTGGCCCAAAAAAAGGATAGGTGGCAATTTTCCCCCAAGGAGAGAAAAAACCAACTTTATTGTTAAAAAGATTATTTACTTATCATTAATTATATTCCTACTTATTTCTCTATTTTCTTAATAACCTGCTCGAACTTTAGTCTATAGTTATATAAACAATAAATTTATTTCTTCAATTGTTAAACCGTAAACTGCTTCTTTTCTAATTATACATTTACTTAGCATATAATGATAAGAAAAAATAATTGCCAGCTACCTGAAGTATCGACCACTACATGGCTGACCATGCAAAGTAAAGAAATGCACACTCAACTACATGAAGTATATGATATGCATAATAACATCCATGAACTTTATGTTGTTATGTAGCTAACATCACAAATCTGATTATAATTAATTACATTACAAGGTTAATTACATTAATAATAAATATAAAATATAAAAACGTTTCATGATATGGAAAATCTTTCTATATTTTTTTTTCGAATATTTTTATTTTAAAAAGTGTTATACAACAATATTAAAAATTAATGTTATTTTAGAAAAAAACTTTTAACTTTATTTTAATTTATATTTTTAATAGTTTGTTAATTTATCATTTATTTTTCTATGTGATTTGTTAGGTGAAATTCTATTTTTACCATATTTGTTGTAGCACAATTCATGTTTTCATTTATTAAGAAGATAATTTTACAAATACATTTTCCACTAAATGAAAAAAGACCTTTCTACAAATTTTATAAACACATATAAATAAAAATAATTATTAAAATATTTAAGTCATTTAAAAAAATACTTTCAAAACATTTTATATCTTTAAAATGTCTTTATAATAATTTTTAATAAAAAAAATTTAAGTATTTTATTACAAAATGATTTTGTAATAAATTATTAAAAACCTTTTAGTTTATTGAAAATGTTTATAAGGATATAAAAATGTTTTGAAAATAATTGTATAAATGACTTAACTATTTAAAATCCAAAAAATTATTTTATATACAAAACATTTTATTTAACCTAACACAAAATAATAGGGAAATTTTACTTTTACCTCACTTTTGATACCATCATTCATGTATACATTCCTTAAATGAACATTTTCAAATATACACAATTATGTAGTTTCATTAAAAAAAAATATTTTTCTATCCTTACTTTCTAAATATAAATAAATAATTATTTATATATATATATATATGAAAATAAATGCTAAACTAGCAAACTATTTAAAATATATAAATTTAAACTTTTTTTATAGAATAATGTACACAAATTTATAAAATAAAAAAATAAAAACTTTCTTGATAATAAAAAAATCAAATAAAAAAAAAAGATTTTCCATATCTTAAAATGTATATTATATTTTATATTAATGTAATTAGCCTTGTGATATAATTAATATAATTAATCCTGTGATGTTAGCTACATAACAACATAAAGTTCATGGATGTTAGTATGTATATCATATACTTCATGTAGTTGAGTGTGCATTTCTTTACTTTGCATGGTCAGCCATGTAGTGGTCGATACTTCAGGTAGCTGGCAATTATTTTTCCTAATGATAATACAGATTTAAAGTGGTTTAAAATTTAAGATTTATAAAACGTCTGATATTACCGTGTGAAAATACTACGAATGAATTATCGTACTATAAATTTTGCGATTAACTGGACGTTTGGAGTTCAAAAACCATGGTGGTAACTAAGTCCCAATAAAATAAAGTATCTTTATGTTTTTCATGAATAATATTATTTTGACACTTTTCACAAAAATAAGACAATATTAAAATACTTTTTATAATAAAGTTACAAAGGTTTAATAATAGTGTTTGAAATAATAAAATTATTTATAAGAATAAATCATTTTAAATAAAAATATGTATAAATTATATTAAATTCTAAATGATATTTTGTGTAGTAAAATAAGTGTTGAAATAACATTGTTTATGAAACAAAGGAAGTTAGTAATGTCATAAATTATTAGACGAGATGTACAATACGAATTCGTATAATGACCGTGTAATTATTTAGTCAAAAAACAAAAATGATCGTGTAATTAGGCATGCTAGTAATTACGAAGGGAGAGAAATAGTTTAGTGTGTGTGTTGACCGCATGTGAAGAAGAGAGAGATGTAGGTTGAATCTGAAACCTGAATGTGTGGACGTGATACTTCCCTTTCCCACCCATCCCCTGCGGATCCCGCTGACACCCGACCCGATCCGTGTAAGTGGACATCGAACTAGCCACTCGCACCTCTCTTCATTTGTCTTCACTTGTAAATTGTAATCCAGTTAGGAGGGAGCATGTGGCTCTGGAAACCCATGTTGCGATACTAAATTGTAGTTATTATTTTAATTCTAAAGCAGCAACTGTTAATACACTTGGATCATAACTCACTAAAGCCTAATTAACATGTTATCTAACCAGTATTTTGTTGGTATCGAGAAATTCTGAGAAGAACAATATATTTAAACTGTTCGGTGTCCAATCTTTTACATATTTATTTGTACAATTTGATTACAGATTCTGAGTGCTATATTTGGACCAAGTTAATAAATGAACTTGAGGTGGTATTTTTCTATGCAAAAATATGCATTTTTATGCAAAAATATGCATATCCCTAATATATAGATATATGATCTGAAAGTTAAAATCAGATAAAGACATAATTAATTATATCATTTTGGTGTATAACACCAAAGAAAAATAGATAACATAGCTTATTCTTTTATTCATAAGATGAAATAAAAACTTATAGCGTCATCAACATTATTGTACAAGCCAATCATACATGAATTTTTCAGGCTTACGGTCTTTTGATAAGTAGATAGCATCATCTCGTGCGTTCCATACATATAGTGCACCACATCTGTAAACGGCAGCACCTATATATGCTGCAAACGTTTTATGAAATGCCAAATTGTCTTGATCCCAGTACAAGGAACAGTCGAACTGTGTAGTGAAAATGACATTATCATGAAAACTAAAATTATATGCAGGATCTTTAAATTTCACATAGTGATCGCCTAGATCATTGTCTTTAGATTTGCAATTGACTATAAGAGTACGTTGAGCGCGAATTAGGCTATTTTGAAAAACTAAGGTGTTTTTAGGGCATATACTAGCTTCGCTAGACCCAAAACATAAAAGAGATATAAGAAATGAAGTATTAAACAGGAAATTCATTGTTTGAATAAATCACGATTCTTAAAACTGGTTATACTTCAACAGGCTACGAACATGAATATCAATTAAATTTTGATATGTAGCTATATATACATAACTCATTGGTTCCTTACATTCCCACAGAAAGAAACTTTGACCAAGTCCTCTATAACTGGAATAGAATATACTTTAATTAGTAATAAATAGTATTTTGATTTAGTTATTATATTTCTTTCTAACAATTAATCAGATTTTCAACAAAATATACTCAAATTCCCATTAGTTGTATACTATTAGTTTTAGTCAGTTAATATTTTTAATATATTGTTTCTGGCAAAATGAAGATAGTCAAAGATGCATTACTAGATATGATACATGTGTAGTCGACATACCTTTTTAAAAAGAACAAGTGATTTTACCATGGTTTATATTTTTAAAATTTGTTAATTTATCAGTTTATTAGTGTGTCGACTGTTTTGTTCGATTCATATTTTCTTATAAACTTTTATTGGCATATAATTCCCTATATATTAAAAAAGAATCATTTAAAAAATTGTAACCTTAAGTTTGTAATAATTAAAAATATCTCCAATCCTATGTGGCATAACTCTTTGTCTTCTATTTCAATTTAGAAGGATTCTAGAGCATGTAATATAATATATAGTCTAAAAATTATATTCTCTAGCAATATAATATTTTGTAGACTATAGTTGGTCGCATACATCAAATATTTATTGTTTCGCATGTTTTCCTTAAATAAAATCTACGGAATTACCTAATGTGATTAAAATATATATATGACAATTAATGGTTTTAAACAATAAAGATTTGATAAAAATATGTATACTTTTATCATTTTTTATTTCTTTATTATTAAAAAAGTACACAATTACATTAATCATATAATAAAAATTAAGTTAAAATTCTTACATAAACTTTTAGGATCAACTATTTAATTTTTTTTCTATATTAAAATATAATGATTAGACCATATGAAGAAATAATTTTCGTTTATATGTATTTCATATCGTTTAAATTAAACTATACATTGTATGAAAATACATACTTATATTTTGATATTTTCATTGAACATATATTGAAAAGTTAATATCTTACTTTTGCAATATGTCATTGTTTTTTTTTAAATGATTATAAATTATTGAAACTACTAAACATCTCACACTAAAAAAAATTCGTTGGTGTAAAGTTTTGTTACACAAATATGCAAATAATCATAAAATTATATGAGTAGAAACCTCATTTAATAAATATTCATATTAAAAGTGTGCTACATTACTATGTTTATATCACTTAGATTTAATTATATATCATATACAATATATAAGATTGATTATTTTATTTATTTACCCTAATTACGAATAAACAAGAGTGATAGTTAAATTTATATGCATACGCCAATTTCTTACATAATAGTAACTGATTCTTAGTTATTTAATATATATATTTATTATTTTATAATATGCAGAAAAATATAAAATAAATGATAAATAGAAAATATTTATTGTGCATAAAGTGTAGATCTTAACTTAGGTATGTCTCATTTTAATTATTTTAAATCTTAAATATTTTCTAAATCCAAGGTCAAAACAAACAAACGAAATGAGAATAAACTTAAAAATAAATATTTATATCGAGTAATAACCAAAATAAAAAACAAAACAAGATAAATAATTGAAGATAAATAGGATTGACACGTGAACTCTCATAACCATAATTAATTTTTAAATTGTTAAATCATGATATAAAACTGAGTTAATTTTTAACTTGTTAATTTTTTTAAAAATTAATTTTTAAGTCATTATGGCTATATTAAATCATGACCATAATTAATTTTGAATTGTTTATTTGTATATGAGAAACTTAAAATATTTGTTTAAAAAAAGAATTTAAAATTTAACTTAATTTTTTGAAAAATACTATTTCTAATATTATTAGACTAATAAATAAATTATATTAAATTAGTTTTGTAACTTTATATATTTTAAATGCAAATATTTTATTTACTGCTTCTTAAGAAATCACTAGATTTTAATCCGCACTTTTAAAGGGCCGGATTTATTTATTTTCAAAAATAATTAAAATTAATATTTGTTAATTTTAAATTTATGTTTAATATTTTTTTAATTTTAAAGTTATGTGTTTAATATTTGATAACTTAAAATTGCCAGGAAGTTGAAACTAATACTTTAATAGTTATATGTTGATCGAGATCATAATTTCAAGTTAATATAAAATATGAATTGTCATATTCAATTGAATATTCTTAAATTATACTATTTAAATCGTGAGTTAATACTTAAAGTGTTGTCCAAAGGTAATATATATTACAGTTAATAGGATTCCTATATTATTGGTATAATATTATTCTTATAAATATGTTTGTAGTTACATGAGTAAACTAATTAATGGAGATAATATGCTTAAGAATATATTTCTTAGCCGAATGATATCAACAAATGGACAATATATGCTAATACATTCATTTCATGTTAAGAAGTTGCTATATTTTTGGTACTACTAAATCTGTTAAAAATGCTTAGATTTTGATAATAATTTAACATGTTGAAATAAATCTTTGAATTTACGAAACATTATAATAAAAAGTAAAAAAAGATGTTACAATTGATACATGGTTATTTCAAACTATTAGACATTTTCATTGTTTCAGCATGTAATAAACCACGATTTTTAATAGTATATATTTTATCTCTGCATAAAAAGACGATGAGTTCCGTTCACCAAAAAACAAAGACGATGACGTTCATCATGTGATGAAATTAATGTATTTCTGTGTAAGATATTGATGTTAGGCGACGCTTTACCTAAATTAAGTCCATGTGATTTGGACCAATCTTAAGTAAAGATCGAGAAAATTAAAATAATTTCTTTCGTTGGACCTTGAATTTTGTCAAGATAAATTGATTCGATGGGCTTTAAGTTTTGTTTGGATTTCTAAATGGTCTAAAATTAGAGTTTCTGATTGGTTGAATTAATAAGTGGTGAAAATAATTTTAAAAAATCAAATAAGGAAATGGCAGTCTCTGTAAATAATTTGAAAAATTAAGAGCAGAATCCTAATAGGAATTATGCTTTAATAGTATAAGCTGGATTTTGAATCGCTCCTTCAAAGCGTATGATTCTTTCTTTTAAAATTTTTGTTAATTATAAGACTGTTATTTATAAGGCAATCTAATCTGTTTAACTTTAGAGTTTTGTTGTTTTTTATGTTTCTAAAATATATATATGTTGGATATTATATAGACAATGTATTTATACTCATAGAAATTTTATGAGCTTAAAAATTACAAAAAATGTATTCTTAATACTTATGTAATTTAGTTGTTATTATCATTTTTCTTGTATTAATTTGTTTTTTTGATAAATTATTAATTTTTTAAATGTAATCTATAAAGTATAAACTTTAAAGAAATCCGGGCTTTGTAATGGATACTGAAAAATAAAATAAAAATAGATTTTATACAAATAGATCTCCTTGGGTAAAAGATGGGTTTGCATTTATTTAATAACGACGGCCGAATATCATAAAATGTGATTTTATGACCGCTTCAATTTGTCTCCTTTTTTCTAATGTTTTTAGTTCTTTAGATCGGTACATGCAGAAAATGAAGAGGACGATCTGGTTGAACAGGCAAGAGATCCGATAAACATCATTCGAAGTTAGAGATCGAACCCCATTTCCAAATCATAATGAAAAAAAAAATGGAAGTAGGATTTAACGTGAAATTGAAGATTTAATAGTATAGCTTTAATAATTTTTTTGCCACCAGTACATTGAATTGATTCGATCTTACGACAATCAAAAACCTGCCCCAGCCTATCTCAAATAATGATAAAAATAGTAAAATATATTAGTATTGATTGTTTGTAATATAAAATAAAATGCCAAACAAATTTTGTAATCACCAATTAAGATGATCTCCATGGTGACGCATGTTTGTTGTTTCCATGTGTGCACCTTCTATTGGAGTAACAACTTCCATATAGCTTAGGATAAAGTCTAGTTAGTATCCGATTCTTATGTTTTCCTATTTCTATTTAGCTTTGGTCTTTTATATTCTTTGAGTACCTATATATATACTCATCTATTTCATCAATAAAACTCAAGCTTTCAATTCCCAAATTTACTATTTGTCATGGTATCAGAGCCTAAACAAAACTAAATTCTTATTCTTTCAAGACTTCCGTGGTGATCTCGCAAGAAAAACTAGATCGTCACAATTCTTATTCTTTTTCACGTGTTTTCTAAACTTGAAACTCACGTTATTCATTCATCAAAACAATGTCGATTACACCAGCAACTGATGCAACAACCGGTGCAGTCAAATACAAAACCATTACTCCGTATGACCTATCATCTAATGATAATCCCGGAGCTGTGATCTCACAACCACTCCTCAGCGGATTAAACTACGATGAATGGGCTATAAATTTTCGTATGGCTCTTAGCTCACGAAAGAAATTTGTATTCCTTGATGGCAGTCTTCCAAAACTGGCAGCTGATTCACCCTTCCTAGAAGATTGGATTGCAAACAATCATCTTATTGTGGGATGGATAAAACAAACAATCGAACCTAAGATCAGATCATCAATATCAACTCAGGAAATCGCAAAAGAGCTATGGGATATAATCAAGAAGCGGTACTCTATCAAGAGCGGAGCACGACTTCAACAATTACGGATTGCACTAGCAACTTGCAAACAAGATGGTTCCAGTGTCGATGAATACTTTGGCCGTCTCACAAAACTTTGGGATGGGATTGCTGAATGTATGAACTCGAAAAGCTGTGCTTGTGGCAAGTGCGAATGCGATCTAAACGCAGCACGAGAAAGAGAGGCCGAAACCCTAAAGATTCATGATTTCTTAGCTGGGCTTGATGATTCCGTACATGGAGTCATACGATCTCAGATTTGTGCGATTTCTCCTCTTCCTGATCTTGATACTGTATATCAGACTATATCACAGAACGAAATCATACGAT